CAATTTCTATTTATTTCTTTCTTGAGGGTTTAGGGTTTAGCTGAACCTTCAGTCGAGCAGCTTTCAACCCGAGTGCGTCAACAGGACGTCGTTTGGGGGTACCAGGAGCTAACATCGCGGGTGAAGCTTCGAGAAGGGCCACACCTAATTTGACAATTGATTGCTCAGCAACTTAACAATACACCTTTGGATCGTGGCTTTGCTCGGCCTGTGGTGGAAGTTCTACGGCACTCACAAACAAACCCAACTATGCAAATCTCGACTCCACAACGTGCCAAGAAGATCCAATTACCTGCGACACTTGAGACAGCCGTTGAAGCTCTGTGAAACGGCTGGGTTCAAGCTTCAAGTTTCTCAGGGCTTAAAGTCGGTTTAAAGCTTTATCCGAACAAAAGCATCGCCGGCAAACACCTTCTGGTACCCACCCTTGGGCCTTCACGGACAACCACTGCAGACTTGCGCAACTCGGCTCCTCGCTTGAAAAGGCGTCTCCATGAGTTTCAACAAGCCATCAGGGGTTACTGTGCCAGGTCCTGAAGGTTACGATAAGGGCTGCTGTAAGCGTTGCCGTAATGGCTTCGACCGGCACGTAGGGTCCACGGCTTTGGGTGCCACGTTCGCTTCGGCCTGCTTCGAGCATCAGCTCAAACTACACCTTGCGGTTCCGGCTGTGGGTACTAGGACTTGAATCTTCAACAATACTATGCTTGTTTGCGATGTTGTGACACGTTACATTACATTGTGTTACACTATACTAGATACTACTACAGTCTACTACATGATATTGAGTATTACATTAAATATAACATTACGCTACATTGAAATACCTCATACTACATGAAAATACTACAGTTTATCCACATATATTTCGGTATATGACACTCTATTTCAGTGCATTGCGTTATATTACATCGTCAAGCATCATATTACACCATAATGCACTATATTACATGATGTTACGTTATATTGCATTTCACAATAGTGCACTATACTGCACATATACCAGTTTAAAGCAACCACAGTACACTACATAACCTCATGTTGCATTACATTAATTGCATTACATTAGAATGCCGTTTAGAACATTATCTTACAATCATATTGCATAACCTTACATTATGTTACATTATGTTACATTCTGTTACATTATGTTATATTATGTTGTGTTATATTACAATGTGTTACATTATGTTCCTTTATGTTACACTATAGTACAGTATATTACATTATATTACATTACAAATTATGTCACGCTACAATACATTATATTACATTGCACAACATTGCATTGCATGACACTATACTACATTGTATTACACTATAGTGTACTATCGTGCATTACATTACGTTATACTACATCAGTCCTTCTATTACATAGCATTATGTTACCTCATATTACATTATACTGCATTAAACCGTATTTTATTACGTTACATTACATGTTACAGAATATTACAATACGTTACATTACTTTACATTGTGTTACAGTGTACGAAATTGTGTTACAATTTTTTTGGAAAGCCATAGTCTCCTGCCTCTCTTGGCATGATGGTGACAGTCATGCCAAGAGAGGCAGGAGACTATGGCTTTCATTGTGTTACATAAAAAAACATAATATTGCAACATATCACAATAGATTCCAGTATGTGGTACTGCACTGTATTACATATTCCTACACCATACTATGTTATGCACTACTTGATATACATTATCTTACGGTCATACATCATGTAGCTTCATTATACAAAGTCATAGTTGTATATTAGACATTGCAGTATAGTGTCTTAGAGCTACTAACAATGGTGTTGCAGATGTCATAAGACACCCAGTGTCTTTGTCAGATCTGGGTGGACAGACCTGCAAGTGATAAGTAAAACATGGAACCTCTGCTGGACTTCTGAGATCTACGCAAGGGCAGAGCAAAGTGCCTGTTGAGGCAACTCGCCAGCCCTCACGGGTGCCTCGCGGGGATGGTTCCACAGGAGTGTTGGGCTGTGCACTCCCACAATCTGCTTCCATGCACATTTAGACTGAAGCCGCGCCTGACCCGTTTGGACTTCGATCAACTGCGACAACTGCCTCGGAGCGGCAACAGTTCCTGGGTCCTTGTCTGTCTATTTGTCTTGCTGCATGCCTGCCCATCTAGGGGGCTATCCATTACGAAATGCGGCGTGCACGTGTTCTCGCACCCTGCTTCCCCTCATGCTCCGGGGTCAGTGCAACCGAGGCTTCACGATGCTAATGAGGCCAGGTGCCTTGCAAAGACAATCTTCCACCGTAGTTTCGTTATGGCTGGGAGCAGTCTCTGGCAACTCAAGTAGAGCAGCGGCCTTGAAATTCGGCTGGGCATGCTCAGGGAGGTCAGTACCTCAAAGACCCGCTGTGGATCATCGAACTTGGACTCAGGAGATCCACTGAAAAATCCCTTCAGCTGGTGCCGTAAGCTCCCCGCATGACTGAACATGCGGCATCTGCGAACCCACGGCGAGATGAGAGTTGGGAAGAAGCTGCTCAAAACAAGTGCAGGATGGCTGAAATCTGAAAGAGCTGCACTACTGCGAAGTAAGTCAGCGAATCTATGTCTTACCCCGGCATGGGAAAGAGAGAGCCAGGGAGGCACGGAGATGCCAAACCGCGGTCGGGGTGGGTTTTTTTAACCCAGCCGAAATGCTGCGGCGGATGCGAAGCTTCTCTGGGCCCAACAGTACAGAATCTCGCAGAACTCCTGTCAGAGAAACAACCGTTTTGGGATCTGGAAGCAGCAGAGCTTCGCTAGCCCTAAGTGTTCTACTATACGGCGTGGAGACTGGATTGTCAGAAGGAGCAGCCTCCGGGCATCTCAAGGCTGTCCTGGAGGGGTACACCGAGGCACTTTTCTCTGCACCATCGCGACAATTTGCCCATGTCAGTATCATACTTCGTGGGCTCAAAGCTCATGGGCTGGCGCTGAGATTCAGGTGAGACCTTTTGCCTGAATCACTGGGATGCAGGGTTTTTTCCCTGCTTCCCTCACTTCAGAGAGATCTCGTAGCAGGAAAACAGGTTCCTGGCCGCCAGAAGCGACCGACTCCCGGCCCGCCCCCAAAAATCTGAATCTCACAACTCACCTCTAAAGCCTGCCACCCCTCTGAAAAAATTGAAAACAGATGCCTTCTTCCTGAAATGCTGCCGAATCTCAAACCTGAAACTCCTAAGTTAAAGGGTAGTTTTAGGCTTTTTGTGGTCTAGACTTGACACGCCGAGGCCGCGACCCAGCCAAGGCCTTGGACAGGGCTTCAGCTGGGATTCCTTTAAGGGTTCAAGGCGAGAGCCTGTGAGCGGGCTTCGGGAATGAGACGGTTTTTGGGTTTAGGGGTGGACGTTTCGGGTGTGTCTAGAGTTTCCGAGGTCAGGGTTGCAGGTTTGGACGGCTCAGGATTCAGCATCGGGAACGTTTGCGGTTTAGGGTCCCCTCAGCGTGCGGTTTGGGGCAAGTCACAAAAATTCTGCTGAGATGAAAAAGTGAATTGGCAACTTGTTCCTAAACGTCCCACCATCGGCGGCCTCAAGCACAGACATGCCGAAGCCGACGCCGGCAAGGCTCACTTCCTGTTGTCGAACATGCAAATTTCCTCTTGCGGAGCCATTATATTATATTATGTTATATTCTATTATATTATACTTTTTATATGAAAAATATTTTATGCTTTATATTCGTTAGTTAATGTATATGCATATATATATGCTGTATATTCGTTAACTAATATGTATTTTCTATTTTGCTTTATATTATTTTATATTATACCATATTGTAGTATATATAATTCAATACGCTATAATGCAGTACAGTTCGCTTTCATGCAGTATAATACGATATAACATATTTGCTACATTGTAACATAATATAGCCACATAAGATACAATTATATAGTCGAATATTTGTGTCTCTCCATTCTGCTCAAGTTCCGACCTCAGATGCGGCAGCCGGCTCGTCAGTTTCCTTTCCCTAATCCTAAACCCTAAAACAAACAGCTGCGAGCTGCTTTGGGGCGGGGTTGGTGCCCGAAGTAGAGAGAGTGGGGGAGAGCATGTGGCGAGGACGCCTCCCGCGACCCTACGAAACCACACAAAAAAAAACAGCTGCGAGCTGCTTTGAGGCGGGGCGGTGCCCAAAGTAGAGAGGGTGGGGGGGAGCATGTGGCGAGGGCGCCTCCCGCGACCCTACGAAACCACACAAAAAAAAACAGCTGCGAGCTGCTTTGAGGCGGGGCGGTGCCCAAAGTAGAGAGGGTGGGGGGGAGCATGTGGCGAGGGCGCCTCCTGCGACCCTACGAAACCACACAAAAAAAAAGCTGCGAGCTGCTTTGAGGCGAGGCGGTGCCCAAAGTATGCAGAATGATAGACTAGGCCTTGGTCGCGCTGACAACTAACTAGAGTCCCTAAACCCTGGGTCGGCTGGCTAAAGTTGACAATGAGCGCAAAAACCAGTAATCAAGATTTCAACAATGTTGTAACTCCAGCTGGCCATCCTGATTTTTTCGATTTGTTCCGGTAATGTTTGTGGACGGCAGTGACTTGTACGATTGGTTCCGGCGTTGCGTGTCTGGGTCGGCTGGCTAAAGTTGAGAAGGACCGCACGCAGTAACCAGTAATCATGATTTCTACAATGTTGTAACTCTAGCTAGCCATCTTGATTTGTACGATCTCTGTTCCGGTAATGTTTGTGGACAGCAGTGACTTGTACGATTTGTGCCGGCGTTGAGTGTCTGGGTCGGCTGGCCAAAGTTGACAATGACCGCAATAGCCAGTAATCAAGATTTCCAAATGTTGCAACCCCAAGCTAGCCATCTTGATTTGTACGGTTTGTTCCGGTAATGTCTGCGGAAGGCAGTGATTTGTACTGTACGATTTGTCCGATGAAACTGCCAAGTTGTGGTTCAGTAAAGCTGAACAAAACGCTCAGCAGGTATTCGGTCTGTCCTGTTTTCTCTTCTGCAGCCAGCGATAGTGTCTGAGTCTTCATGAAAGCGCACGGCCCAAGTTTCCAGGGTTTTGATCTGTTGACTACAGCTTTGGTGCTGAGTCCGGTTGTGTCTCGCCATCATGTCGAGCCCTCCCAAGCAGTACATTTCCACGATGACGAACGTGGACACCTATGTGCAGAAGGAGTGGACTGCCAGTGGAAGCGGATCTTGGGTGAACGTGGACACGCTGCTATTCATTTTCAGTGTGCTCGTAAAAGCCATCCAGCTCTGCCAATCTTGCTCTACGCGCTGGTTGGTGTCGTAGTAGCCTCGAATGGAGCTTTGCTTCGAATTTGGGGCGGGCTCTCACCGATCGCCTTATGGATTCTCAACTGCAATTACAGTCAGACGCGGAAAAGTGGTCTCACATCTATTGCGGAGGTGTTCGCGTCTGTAGCAGACCAACGCGTCCGCAAGACTTTTCGCCGACTTCTCCAGGACAAGAGTGTCGAGGCCAAGGTGAAGACTGCCACAGTACAAGAAGACGGCAGGCACGAAGACACGCTGATGCAAGACCTGGCTGCTCCAGCCGAGGCGAATGCAGCGCAGCGTGACAGGCATGCACGACTAAGTCTATGGTCAGTGGCATATCTTGGTGGCACCATTGAGCGCTGCAAGGAGCGTGACTTCAACTTTGTGCAGAACAATCCTACAGCCTTCAAGGGTTTGCCAGGCATTGATTCCGCTACTGCTTCTGCAGCTGAAGCCGCCGTTGCAAGTGGGGAAGGCTTGCGAGGGCGTACCTGGTTTTCTACGCTGTTGCTGTTTGAGGAAGCGTATGAGTTTCTGATGGAACTCGGCATCTTGGACAGTCCAGGTTCCGCTGCAAAAAAGCAGGCGTCTGGAGGCGTTGATGTTTCTGGTCAAACTCCAAATGCTGGGCGGGCTAACAGGTGCTGCAAACGGGCGTGAGCACCTTCGAAACGAAGAGCTGTGGATCGGTCGGCGGCTTGCACTCACCAAGTGTCAACGCAGCCCTGGCCGGCAATTTTCATCCCGGCGTCGCGGTGGAGATGATTCGCGGGCTTCGGGGCGACCACGGATGCCAAACAAAAGCTCGCTTCCTGTTTGCCAGTGGGCAGCCCATTCAACCGCATGAGGAGTACGAATCTGTCGGCTTGGATGCCAAAGTGGAGCACTGCGCAGTCCCCAGGGTGTTGCTTGATTCGTTGCGGCTGAACTGCTTGGAAAGTCCCGAGAAGGCAGCAGGAGGACGACCTCGTCGACGGTGTTGCTGAGTTCACGGATGCAGGTTTCTTTCCCGACGCAGTGGGCTGGCCTTACACCTTGCCAGACGGCGTTGTCACAAAACTTCGTTTCGCCAAACTCCAGACGGTCCTCAGCCAGAGTGGTCCATGGCAGACAGAGATGTAGAAGTTCCTCCAGAGCTTGAACTACGCCCGGCAGCGAAGCGGCTCACGGAGATCTCTGAGCAGGAGCACCGCGTCCTGGAGTTCTCAGAGAGCGACAAGCAACTTTTCAAGAGCTACGCATGTTATTTCAATATTATGGTGGCTCAATCTCGAGAAGATGGTGACGTGGGTCAGGGTGCCCAGATGGGCGCGCGTCCGTGGAAACTTGCCATGCTTTCTTCGGCTTTGGCACTCTGGGATCTTGCCTGGCTGCAGTCGGCACCGCCGGAAAATCCGG